TTTTTTTTTTTTTTTTTAGCATTTTTAGGGCAATGCTGTTGCAGTGTCCTGGATGAGAGAGACTTCCTGTGTGCATGCATGTTGGGATTATTAGTTAAAGAGAGGTAATCTAGAATCTGTGTTCTGGCTTCTGTTGAACTCAGAAATGCATCTTTTATGATGCTTAAGTGTAGTGTTGTTTGCCCTGGTGGACATTTTATTGCGTACTTGCTTTTCCTCATTGCTCAAGGAGTGGATTTAAGACAGAGCTATATATAGAACCCCCTCTGCTGGTCACTTGGGGTCATACTCACGAGATGCTTTAACCCTTAAATGACTGATCACACCCTCAAAAGTTGAAAAGGATATTCTGACTTAGTTTAAAAAGTGAGAGCCCTGTTCTGTGTGAACGAGGGGCAAAAGTCCTCCTCAAGTAAAGTCAGCAGCTGCTGTGTAAAGAGGAAGAACCCTGTTTCTATGCAGAACTTCCCTGTGGTTTACAAAATCCTCTGCTTGAGCCAGATTACTTGTTTGGTTTCGGCCAAAGTAGATTTGCCCTCAGGTGTACACAGTTTTTTTTTTACAGCATATTCTTCATGCACCAAATACCAGCGCGACCTGAAAAATGGCCACTGCTGCAGATTTGTTTCTAGATTTTAGGAAATGCTCTGATTTGAATGCTGTGTAAAAGTCAACACCATTATTCAGGATTTATAATGTTTACATTTGAAGAGACGCGCCCACAGCAAGCAGCTGTTTGTTCTCTATGGGTCAGGGAAACAAGCAGTAAACAGTAAAAACATTGTAAATTTGCGTGCTGCTTGTTTTCTCAGCACAGAGGCCTGTAGAGCGCTGTCGTCTGGGGTTTGTTGTAGGTTCAGGTGCAGGCTGTGAGCGCTGGCTGTACAGTCGGAGGAGCTGCATGTCTGCACACCTCCACATTCCTTAGGCTTTTATCCCAGTCATTCAGCAGAACAAGGGAGGGGCCGAGCTGTCAACCTGCGCGTTGTACTGGCCAACACACCCCAAACAGGTTTAATATCAGTGTGAACAAACACAGCGCTGCTGTATTGTGGTTAGCCAAAAATAAAAGATCTTTCCAGTTTAGTGGATCAAATTCACCTGTTTAGACGCTCTGGTTACTTCCAGAGCCTGGAGTGACACTCGTAAAAATTACTCCTGTATCTCAATGTCAAATTCTTTGTTCGATTTGACAAACTGCTGCAGGTTAAGGCTATTTGGATCCAGTAGAACTTCTGCAAATTAAAACCAAGATTGGTTGTTGAACCATTACAGTTTAATTTATATTAATTAAGCAATTAGCGGCTAAATTGATTAGTATGATGGTTGATAGCATTAGAATTTGCATTAGAATTGCCCACAGCCATTTGGCTCTGAAAGTGGATCAAGGAGACAGACATGATGCATCGGTGACCACCAGGGGGCATCTCCATGAGACGTAAAGGTTTTTACTTATGAAAGTTTTTTTTTTTTTTTTTGTCTCCCTTGTTACAAGTGTTTTCTGGTTTGAACATCTGTTCTCATCTGGAAGACAAATATACTTAAAGCACAAAGATGGATGACTTGGTGGTTGACTGGCAGCTACATCCATCCAGTTGTATTCTACTTTCAAATATATTTGTGAACTTGCAGTAACAGACACTGATACAGAAGAGAAGTGAGAGAACTTTAAAGTCCTACTGGATCCAAATAGCCTTTAAAACAGATCAGATTCAGCTAACTGAACATGTGACTTGTACCTACATTCTAATTGCTCAGTTCCTGTTGTCTTGTCTCATCCTCCCTTATCTCCCTGCTCCCCCACCTCACCCCTCCACAGGAGGACAGCTCAGGCAGACAGGTCACCATGGTGCCGCTGGTCATCCCTGTTTCTGTGCCGGTGCACAGGAATCAGGCCGATCCTCAGGCCGGCTGGTCCCTGGGACACCCTGGTCCTGCCAAGCGGCCTGCAGCACAGTCTGACCACAAACCTTCCGTCATCGTGGATCGTCGGCGGCCGCTGAGAAACTCCATAACTGAGAGCTTTGGTCAGGTAAGCACAGAGAGATTAGTTCACCTGGGTTCACAGGGAGATTGGACAAACAGTGGTTGTAAATTATGCAAAACACCAAAAACATTATGCAGAGAAGGAAAAGAGATGCACGGATTCCAACTTTTGAACCTCTGGTGTATCCCCGATTAAAAAGACGTGACATCACATGACTCTTTTCTACATTTCCATCCCTGCTGTTACACAGGATAGTGACAACGATCCAGGAGTGGACGAGGATGGAAAACCCAAACTGAAGCGCCGCCCTCGCCCAGAGCCTCTCATCATCCCCCCTCACAAGCCATCCACCTTCATACCTCCATCCATCTACTCCAGCATCACTTCGTACCAGAGCAACCTGCGCTCACCTGTCCGCATGCCAGACAATCCCTTGACCCTCCCCCCGTACACACCTCCACCCATCCTCTCTCCTGTTAGAGAAGGTTCTGGACTCTATTTCTCCACCCTGATGACCAACATGAGCACAGGAAACCAAATATTGCCTCCACCCCCTACACCCAAATCAGCCACACGCAGCCTGTTGCGCTCCAGTGAGTTTTTTTTTTCCAAGGTTCTTTTCTATTTTCCAACAAAAAAAAATCTTTCTAAGAAAACTTTAAATCGTTTTTTCAGCGAGTTCTGACATTACACCTCCGGTCCTGCCCTTAATCTCTGACGTCACACCAGTTAGCCTAGAACCGTGAGTACTGCCGATGCACAGAGCACAACGGGCTCGAAGGTACTTTGATATTTACTCCACAAATAAATCCTGTTTGTCTTACTTATCTTCTTTCTTTCAGTCGTATTAATATCGGACAGCAGTACCAGGCGGAAATCCCAGAAATGCAGGATCAAGTCTCCTCCCAGTTTGACCAGCACAAGGCCGACGTGGTCTGGGTCCCTGTGGACGACTCTGACCTCAGCGACCAGGAGAGCAGTAAGTCTTCACACATAAGAAGTCAGTGTTGTTTTTAACTGTTTTTGAACGTGTCGTTTTTTCACTCCTCAGTTGAACATTTGATGAACATGGCTTGTTCCAGTGTCCTCAGAGGTGGAGGAACCAACCAGGAGCTGGTTTTACACTGTTTACACGAATGTGGAGGAGATTTACTTGTGAGTATAGTGGCTCAGAATCTTGGTCCAGATATTAAAAGTCAGTTTGCTTTCTGCTCAGCGATAAGACTGTGAAGATAAGACTGTGAATGAGTCCAGGGTTTACATTGTGATGGTTGCACTCCACAATATTTTTGAGCAAAGTAAAATCTACTTGTGGGTGCTGGTCTTTTAAAAATGTAACTTGTTTTCCAAAGTGACCTTGAATGCAACCACTTCTTTTTTTTAATCTGTTTTACTTACCGTCACTGCAAAGACGGTTCTTAAAAAATCACAGGATTAAAATATCTTTTTGGTAAATCCTTATTTCTGTGTATTTTAAAGGAAACTTTGGGCCGTTTGATGCTTCAGGACCAGGTTTTCCCTGAAGGTCACCTACTAGTGGACTTTCACTACTCAGGTTAGTACTAAACCTCCCAGCAGTGTCAGGCAGTTTGGTGCCAATTTCACTCACCTTTACCAACTTGCAGTTGACCGGTATGTCTTCCTCTTCCTTTCTTTTTCATCTTAAAACGTTTCCTCATTCTCGCGTGAATGAACCCACAGGCTCCGACCGCTGGACTGCAGAGGAGAAGCGTTACTTCAACAAGGGGATTTCTGCCTACAGGAAGGATTTCTTTCTGGTGCAGAAACTGGTACATTCACTTACCGTCCTCCTACAACGGCAACACGTCATTAGACTGTACAGGAAACACAGTATCAGTATTAACTATTCAGGATGTATATGTGCATACATATACATATACACATATACTATATATGTATGTATGTGTATATGCATGTAAATGTGTTCTTCAAAGTTTGCAATGCTACTACATGTAGTATTAAACAGACAAAGGTTTCTGCTTTTCTGAAGGACTGCTATATTCTAAAAACAAAGTGAAAACTAGAGGAAAATGAGACAGGAAGTGAATTGGCTGATGGGAAATGTGGTCTTATGTGGTTGTATAGATGGCTACAAGTGCACTATTTATCACCATGTAAGGCTTTGCTTGACAGGAAAATGATAATATAAATGTTCATCACCATCCCTTGGTGTGCGATGTTTCTAAGGTGCAGACAAAGACCGTGGCCCAGTGCGTCGAGTTCTACTACACGTACAAGAAACAGGTGAAAATCGGTCGAAATGGGATTTTAACCTTCGGCCCTCCAGATTCACCGGAGAAGAACACAGAGGCTGTGGTGGATGTCAAGGTAGAGTGGTGTCAAAGTTATTATGGCTGAGGTTGTGACAAAAAAAAGGTGATTAAGGTGTTTGTGTCTGGAACAACGTTATGTCTGTTCTGCAGAGTTCACAGCAGGTGAAACTGGCAGAAGACGACAACAAGACGAATGTTTCTTATGAGCAGAGTTTTGAGAGCAGCCAGCAGGCCAGAGTCGCTCAGTCACTACAGGCACATGACTACGTAAGTCACTGTGTGAGTGAAATGGCCAGAGAGGGTTACTGCAGTAACAGCTAGTATTAATAATTACCCCAGTAAATGTCATTACATTAAAAAAACATTTGTTGCACTGAATGATAAATGTAAGGGACCAATAAATCTTGGTCTGAACTATAGCAGATTTACCTTAAAAATAGCCAAAAATAGCTAAAAAGTTAGTAAAAAAAGTTTTCAGACATGTAGGAAATTATGCAAAAAGACACTCAATAAATCAATACAACAAATACATTTTTATACTTATAGAAAAGGCCACACTTACAGATTTTTTTTTTTCTTTCTTTCATATTTTTTCCACTCCAGGCAGGAACAGTGATGGTGATCAAAGAGTCAGAGACTGTGAACAGGGGCATGGATCTACCACCAGCTCCTCACAGGCCCCGAGCTGAAGCTGCAGCCAAGAAAACCAAAGTCCAAACGAAGCCTCCTGAGGATCCAGACACTGTGTTCCCATGCAAAAAGTGTGGCAGGTACAAGTACAAGTCAATGCACGTTCGACTCCTTTCTTTAATCCAGTTCTAATAAACCTAGAGAGGAGAGACATATGGTACGAGCGTCTCGTACATGAAGTAGCATTTTAACTACAAATAAACTGACATCTTTAAAGTTATGAAGAACCATTACAGCCGAGCAATTGATAAAAGAGGAACTGTGAAGGTAACAGACTACCGTAATTCATGTAAATGAAGAAAAAAAAAAAGTTTGAGCCACTGCATGGTGTACTGCACCTTTGCTGTACCTGGTATTTATTGTTTCCAATGACTCTTACATTCCAGGGTGTTTTACAAAGTGAAGAGCCGCAGCGCCCACATGAAGAGTCACGCCGAGCAGGAGAAGAAGGCAGCAGCGCTGCGTCAGAAGGAGCAGGAAGAGCTTGCAGCAGCTGAAGCTCGGGCCAGGAAGGCTGCGGCCGCCGGCGCGCCCCCCGGGGCGGGCGCGCCG